GGGAATAAGGAACTAAGTTTCAAAGTGAAGGTGTCACACATTATTTTACATGGAGTGAGCCTCTGTGTTCTGCTAGCTGTGGCCAGTGTTCCCTGGTTCACATTTCTTCCATACACATCCCTGTCTGGTCTTTTTGGTGCCTTCCACTGTGCTTGCCTGAAGATATTTTTGTATTAAAAAATTTAAGAAGGGATTAGATTGTGGGCTTCAAGTTGGAGGCAAGTTGGATGGTCTCTTCCATAAACCTGAGCAATAGGGTGCTGGGTTTCGTAATAGCCACACCATTGGTCACAGTTCCAGAGTCTTCCTAGAATATTAAGTAGTTTGTGCTTCCTGTGGTTTCCAGGTCTGTGTGTCCCCAACACTGGACCTTAACTCTGCACCTGAACTGTATGTTTAGTTTGAAACTCAGTTTCTCTGTAAGATGGGTGCAGGACAAGCCTAAGCCACCTGAGTTTCTTGAACAGTGCAGAGCACTCTGTCATGGCAGAGATCTGGAGGACAGCAGGAGAGATTTCTTGGGCACTACGTGATCTGCTGGGATCTCACTCTGACCCACACCCAGGGTCACCAGATTCTTCTCAGACTCACAGAAGCACATTTTGACCCGTGTGTGTGATCATGCATTCCACAAGGTTGAGCTTGTCCTTGTGCCTGAACCCTTGTGGCATGCAGAACACACTTAATATGTGTTGATTAAATGAGTAAATAAATGAATTCGCTTTTCAATATTAAGCAAGTTCCCTTTCATGACTATCTTTGACCTGGTGTTTTCCTCTTTGATGATCTTATTCTCTAAAGAGCCAGAATCCTTCATTTCCCTGCACCCCCAATTTGTTTTCCTTCACTTCCCCTCCCACCTTTTAAGATCACTTTTTGAAAAAGAAATTTTTAGTGGCTTTTCTGAGCCAGAACTTACATACCATAAAGCCCACTGTTCAAATGTACAATTCAAGGGTTTTAAATATGTTCAGAGCTTGGCAACCATCCCTGCCATCGGAGCAGGGAACAGAGAAAGTCGGGTGGAGGTGGTTGCCAGAAAGATCCAGGTTCCAATCCTGGGTCCACCTGATGACACAGGTGATGAGGTCTGTGATCACTGCAGATCCCTAAATTCTGTGGTCTTTGTTGTCCCCACTGCAGGACATGTCACACTTCCTAGGGTTATTGTGGGAATCAGGTGAGCGCAGAGTCCCTCCTCCAGGGCTTCCCTTTCAAGGTTTCCGTTACCCATCGTCAACTGGGATCTGAAAATACCCAATGGAAGATTCTAGAAATAAACAGTTCATAAATTTAAGATACCTTTCTTACAGCCCATTGTTATAATCATTTTATTTTGCTATAGATATCGTAAATCCCTCACTGAGCCTCATTCACAAATTCCTCGCTATCCTGGGTGCGTATCTACAGGAAGGGACATGGGTTTGGTTCCGTCTGGGGTTTCAGGCATCCATGGGGGTCTCAGAATGTATTCCCTGAGGATAAAGGGGCTGCACTCGATGTTCAGCAAGTCATCTTTCCTGTCCTCCGTGACCCCCTGGCCTCCAGCTGCAGACCACATGGGGTGGTGAGCAGGGGCAGAGCTGCAGTCTTCCCCCAGGGACCTTCCCCTGCCTCAGAGCACAGCAAAGGATCCTGAGCATCTGGTGCATCTTGCCCAGCCACCTGCCATCAAGCTCTGGGTACTGCCAGCCCCAGCCAAGAGATCACCCCCATACCATATTTTCCACCAACCAGCCCCCCCCTTTCACAGTCTTGATGGGTTTGACCTATGTTTTAGGACCCCTTTGCTGCTACCCACCACATACCTACCAGCTTGGTCTTTTTGTCTTCAGTGGGTTCTTCCTCCAAATACCCCTTTCTGGAGAGCTGTCGATTCTGCCCCTTTTTCTTTGCAATCATGAAATATTGATGCTGGGGGAACCCTAGAGTTAATCCAGTTAAACCTTTCTTTTCACAGTTGATGAAACTGAGGCCCCTAGATGGGAGGTAACTTGGTTACATCATTAGCTGGTGGCGGGTCAAGCCTAGCAAGGTTGAATACATATTTGTGGAGAGAAGGAATGCCTTTTGGTATATGATACTGCCTCAGTGACCTGGGGACCTGATTGAAATCTGAGGGTTTGAGTTCACATTTTGACCCCATCTCGTCATTCCTCCTGGTCCATAAAACAAGGATAAACTGATCCCTGTTAGGACTCCCTCTGAAGGAATGAAATCAGAAGCCTTGCAAACTGTAGCATACTAAGTGGTTGTAGTATTTATGTTGTCACCATTGTTTGGAGAAAGTGGAAATAACTCCCATCCCGGTGAGAATCTGTACATTTGGTCTGAATCTTGTAATTCATTTTGGTTTTCCGTTGCTGAGTGGAGAGAGCTGATATTTTCCAGGCAACCCTGGCTGTGGAGAGCTTGAGACCCAGGGGATTCTGAGAGCATTTGTTCCTTGCAAGTTACCCTGTGGCTAGTAGATGGTACAGAGAGGGTTTGGTACCACGACCCTGAGCACAGTGCTTGGGAGAGGAGAGAGGAGAGGGCTGGAGAAAATCAGATGTGTCAGTAAGTCCAGAATTTCTTTTAATTAATTTTTAGATCTACTTATAAAAAAAATCCAGACCATAATCTCTGATCCTGGCCATTTGGAAGTAGTCATTGTAGGTTATGTTATTATATAATCTCCCTCTCTCAGACCCTCTGTCTCTTGTCTCTCTCTCTCTCCTCCCCTCCACCACCCTTCCCCCTTTGTGAACCAAATGCTAGGTCTTTGCTGGACAGGGGTCTGTGTAGGTTCCAGACTCAGCCCCCAGACAAGTGAAAGAGTAACGGGGTGTTTTTCATCCAAATAACTGTTAAGGGTCCTAATTTAAAATGAATAAAGCCTTTCACCAGGCTCCGTGTTTCCCTAAATCAATTTGATTTTATGTAAACATTTATCTCTTTTGCACTTTCCCACCTACCACACCATTCACATCATAATGCCTTCGTGAACATTAATGTTTTCGCCAGATACGTTTCAGGGCAGGACGGGGGGAGGCCGGGAAGTGTGGTACACAGAATGCATTCTAAGGAGTCCAACCCGAGCAGAGCTTTCCGAAAATCAAGGAGTAAATGTGAACAAGCACTCAGTTTGGCTTAGGTAAGAGAAAGATATAAAATAGCTTTCAGGGGTGTTGAGGGGAGGGCAGATAAGATGTGGACTGGGGGCTATTGTTTGGAAAGACTTGCAGTCAGAAATGGCCAGTTTTCAGCACGTCGGCAGGACATCTCCGAGGTTGTTAAGAGGCTGCAATGATTGAAATGAGTGTCCAAATAGCAAATATTCCTCCTTCTAAAAAGAACATGCTTGATTTCTGCTCCATCTCTACTTACATCAAAGCGGCTCTCCTTGCTGAGCGCTCCGGCTACTGCAGGCAGACCTTTCCCCACACTTCCCCGAGCTGTGGCAGGTTGTGAATTGACACACGCGGGCGCAAGCCACGCCAAGCACCCGCTCTGCCTCATCCTTCTGGATGCATCCAGACCCAGACACCTCCGGCCCGGGAAGCCACGCCTGACCTCCCACACACCCTCTAAACGAAGGAGAAGAGAAAAGCAGATGCTAGAAGATAACGAAAAGATAGTTAGCTGTGACTTCCCAATTGACACCCAGCCCTGTTCCCAGATCCAGACAGGAGTGAGTGTGTTGCCAAATGTTTTTAGCAAACAAGAGTGAAAGAGCCTCAGCTTCAGAACAGGCTCTGAACAGTCAATTCCCCTTCTCCTTCCTTCATTGTTTACTGTTTATCTTCTCATCAGGGTTTTCTTTCTTTCTTTTTTTTCCAAGTGATACATACAGTTAATTGGAGCGCTCTCTAATTCTTTTGTGTGATGGTTAAAACAATAAAAATAAGCACAGGGTCACCACGAGAGCGTTTCACTGATGGATGCTTGAAAATAGAATTTTTTGGAAGCATTGTTGATTTCTACTTATTTTTTGTTGGTAAATCCCAGGGAAAATGTATATCGTTTCCTTTAAAGTTCTAATTCAAGGCATGGATGTGAGAGTTCTGGAGGGACTTTGGGACTGCGGTAAAATTTCGTTGTCATAGTAACAGAAAGGGAAATAGGCCTCACTCACCTGGGACTTGAGTGTGGCAAAGCTGGATTTTTTTTTTTTTTTTAAGGAAAAGGACTCTGCCAGTGAAATAAATGAAAAAACTTACTGTATTTTGAAACAAAATTTCAAATAGGAGCCAGGTGAATTGCTGCAGAGGACACTTTTGCCATTTTTCTTGGTCGATGTCGTTGCCTGATCCGAGATACCCAGTTTTGAAATTTTGCAGATCATTTAAAATAATATTGGCTTCGAAAATACGTTTTACAAATGATAACCCCAGACAGTGAGTCCATGTCTTTGTATTTTTTTCTGAGAATCCATCGATGGTCTGAAAGGACAGTCCCACTTGTCATTAACCATAAACTCCCCAGTGCAAACCTGCCCAGCCAACTTCGTCTTTGGCTGTTCCCAGGTCATTTTCTGATTTTGTATGCGTCGGTTTGAAAATATCAGGCCACTTTCAAGGGTGAGCTGGTAGGTGTGTGTGCCAGCAGAGAGCCAAATGCATAAGGAACCCTGGGATTCTGGGCCACATCCTGCCATTTTTACCACCCCCTCCCCCAGTAAGATTTTCTGTACAGCAGGGGTCACTGCTGCGTTGGAAGCCTTTTTTTGCACAAGGAGTGCTGTGGAAGCTCCAGCCCTTGTACAAACCAGAGCCCAGCTTGGGAAGCACTTAACAATCCCCCACAGTAATGGAGAAGGGGGTGCCGGGCTTGGATTGAAAACATCCAAATTTGCAAATTGCAGAGGGTCAGCCATGTTCCTTTCTGGGCAGGACTGGTTGAAATTCCCCAGACCTGAAACACAATCGCTTTTTCAAATCAAATCTAATAGAATGCAGATAGAGTCTCCCTTAAAAAATGTTTACTGAAAAATGTAACACATTGCTTTCTCTTCACAGATTCTTTTTAAAATTTTTCCTCAAGTGCAATCAGAATTGTTTGAAAACAGCAGGAAACCCAAGGGACATGAGACGGTTTCAGGTAAGATCTCGCTTGTTAAATAAGTCATCCAGTTTTCTCTCTCCTGCCTACCCCCCCCCCCCCCCACTAAAACCATTACTCACTGATACTGTGAGCAATACAAAAGGTAACTGTAAATGATAACTCTCCTCCGCTAGTATGCAGGGGTCCTTCGTTTTGTAGTGTTTAGGTTTTCGGCCTCCACTGCCAAATCCCCACGAGGAGAGGCACCAACCCGTTGCTGGAGATTTGATTTTAAGCCCTCAGGCTGCCCCTTGCACACAGCTGCCCACAGCAGGAACCGTGTTCTTGATATTCAGCCACCTTGGGATTTTTCAAAGCTGCTTCTCTGTGCTTTCTGCAAGCAACAGCCCCTGCCTTCCTCTCCTACCCATTAACTATTCAGTGGTCTGTCTCCAAGCCTGTTGGAAAGCAGCAGTCCAAACAGCCATGGTCACTTTAAGACCGCAGCATGACAACAAGACCCACGGGACGGTGACCCAGCTGCCTGGCAGTTAAATCTGCCACCGGTTTCATCACCCTTGCCACTGATGTACTGAGACGAGCTAATAAAAACACAGAGCAAAGCAAAGAGCACGGGTTGCTGCTGGGAGCAAGGGCCGCCCTGCTCAGCCCCCTTCCTTACACTGCGAAGGACCCACATTTAATTCACCAAATGGGCTTTGCTGCCATTCTTGCCCACGCGAGGTACATGGCACCCTCTTCTCCACGGGCAAATGAGAACTGGGCTAAACAATGGGATGCAAGCTTAAGACCTGGGAAAATCCTTGCAGCAAAGTGAGGAATGTGGGTGATGCTGAGCCCCATGCTTCAGGAGAGGGCAGGGTGGCTCCGGAAGGCTAGGTAACTCACCCCTGATCCCACAAGAAGGCGGCAGAGCTGGGAGGATCTGTCATAGATTCTCCACCAGACCATGGACATGTGACATGTGGTAGCTGCTGGGTCTGTGCTTCGCTATCACATACTTCTGGAAATTCTTAATAAGTCTGAACAAGGAGCAGTTCATTTGTTCAGGATCCCACAAGTCATGTGTCTGGTCCCACCTGTCCCTTAGAGAGCTTCTGAGGCATGGCCACAGTCAGAGAGGTGCTTGGGAACAGAGCCTCATGAGAGTGAACAGGGTGGCTGGCCGTAGCTCAGGGACAGTGCACTTGCCTTGCACGGAGGCCTGGGTCCCTTCCCCAGCCCTGCAAAGTGAAACACAGAAGAAAAGGGAGGTGGGCGTGCACAAGCCAGAGAGAGTAACTTTGAAAAAAATTCCTTTTATTAATTCTTTCATTGCATGGTGATCAAGCATTTTTGCTGTGACCAGGACATATGGTTGTTGTTTTTTATTTTTTGGGGGGTATGGTTATAATATTTAACATTATTGCCAGGCTCCCTTAAAAATGTCAAGGCCCCCCATCTTATCATGCAGTCTTCCCCTGCAGTATGACCAGAAGACACAGAACTACAAATCAGCTTTCTTGGGGACCCAGCAGGAATGAATGTCATCCCCAGTAGAAACCTCACTAAACTCACTGATCCAAATAAAATTAAAATAATTTTAGTCCAAGGAAGAGTGAAATTTACAAACATCCCAAAGAGCCTTAATGACCCAAGCTTAGCTCCATTTCTGGAAGACACAGGGGCAAGGAAAAGGAGGAGGCGGCTTGGATTCTTATTCTACCCTATTCCCCACCCCCACTCTCAAGGGGCTTTAAGTTTGAGAAGATGCTTCTACATGGGAAGAGCTTCTAATAGAATCCCTTGATGTCTTATTTCTCCCCAATTTTAAAAGCATATTCACAAAGCTGAGGCATGCTCACCTGAAATTCACTTCTCCAGTTCTTCACTAAGCTAGGTCTTCCTCGTGCCTGAGTTTTTCACTGGCTGAGAATAAATGTTGCTGCCTCAATACGATGAGGAATTTTCATCCCATTTGAGCATATTTGACTTCTGCAAGGATACGGGGGGAACTGTCAAAATAAAGTTTGTAGATTGCGTTATTTCTAGGTAGAAGCTAAAAATCAATTTTGTCAGGTACTTTTTGACCTTGAGGTCAAATTCATACAACATACGATTCCCCATTTTAACCACCTTAAAGTTCAGGGACTTTTAGGACATTCACAGTGTCGTGCCACCGTCTCCACTACTGGATTCCAGCACATTTTCATAACCTCAGAAAGTTATCCCAGGCTTCCTAATTCTGTTTCTTTTCTCCATGGATTTGTCTATTCTGGAAATTTCATGTGGATGAAACCCTACAATAGGTGCCCTTTTGCACTTGGCTTCTCTCTTAGCATAAGTTCTCCAGGTTCATGCATGAGAATTCAATACTCCATTTCTTTTTATGGTGGGATAATATTCCATTGCCTGGATACATCATCTTTTATTTATTCACTATTTAGTTAATGGACACTTGCATTGTTTCCACTCTGGGGTGATTTTAAATAATGCTTCTGTGGGTTTTTGTGCCGAAGTTGTGTTCGTGAACATAGGTTGTCATTCTCTCTGGATTATGGCGAAGAGTAGAATTTCTGGATCATATGGTAACTCTAACTTTTTGAGGAACTACCAAACTGTATTTCGCAGTGGCCATACCATTTTACATTCCCACCAGTAATGTACCAATTTCCTAACTCCTCGACAACACTTACTTTCTGATTTTCATAAGATCTGGCCATCTTGTGGGTATACAGTGGTTTTTGTCTTACTGTGGCTCTATCTATTCCTGTTGCCTAAAGGTGCTGAGCCTCTTTTCCTGTACTTACCATTCATACGTGAGCCTTGTCTGGAGAAATATCTATCAAGTCCTTTGCCGACTTTTAAATTGGGTTACTTTTCCCCATTGTAGTTGGATTATAGAGTTCTTTGTATATTGGGAATATCGGGTGCTTCTCAGATATGTGATTTACAGACATTTTCTCCCATTCTATGGGTCACCTTTTCATGTCTTCAGTGTCCTTTGATGCATAAAAGAATTGGCAATTTTTCTGTTGTACTCAGATTCTATTAAGAGTATATCTTTCGGTGAGAGCTCTTTTACATGGAGAAAGCTATTATGGAGAAGGCTTTTCTATGTGCTATGACGGTCAATTAAGAAACTTGGATCAAATTACAAACATGAAGCAAAGCCAGAGACAGTAGGCACTCATGGTGATGGGGAGAGTAATTAAAAGGGACGGTAAATTTTAGGAATTCCTGGAATATGTATCTCATTCACAATGACGAAAGTTAAAATTGTTTTTAACCATGTCGACAAACTTCAATTCATTACTTTTATTACATGATCAAACATTGGTTTAATATCAAGGATTCTTTGGTGATGATTTACTCAAAACAGAAGAGGAACACAGGCCATTCTAACAAAATCATGAATTCTACATCAGGAACACCGGTAAATCTGGACTGGTTTCTCAAAACAATCAGATGAGACCAAAATCATTCCAAGCTTATTTTGGAGACTGAACCAATCCTCTTTAATTCAGTTGAAATTCTAAGTAGGACAGGTCATAACAAAATACTTACTGAAACACAATGGGTCTTAACCCTTTTCTGGTCCAAATCCCTCTGAGAAGCTAGTAAAAGCTGTCATCTCTATCCCAACGAGAAACTGCATTTGAAGAAAGTTTTGCTTAAAGTTTCAGTGATTTCCCAGACCTCTTAAAACATCTCTTAGAGTTCCATGGGTTCCTGACGTCAAGAAATCCATCCAACCCCACGTGGGCGTCCTTAATGTAAGTTGACCCTTAGTGACGATCCGCCCACTCTGACATTCTGGTGAAAGCACTCTGGGTTTTCAATGCCATCTGCTCCCAGTTGATCCCTGCATCCCTATCCTCCGATTTCCTCCTTCTCAGAGCTGCAAATCTACAGCTCGGCCTCTCTCCTGGGCATCTCCCTCCCAAGACTAATGAGCACATATTCAAACAACTCAATTCTTACCCCTGATTCATTTCTCCCTGTTTCATTGTTAAAGCGTTGCTTCCTCCTCTGAAGTGTCTGTTAAATCCATCTCTCTCCCCAGAAAGAGTGGTGGGCCCCTCTCCTCCTTCCTTGTCTAATCTGCCCTCGGCTTTAATGCCAAGCCATCTTCTAAAGCACGTCTTTAATGTCGACTAGCTAAGGACACACAGCTCAGGTTTTGAAAGGCACGGCCCGGGAGATGCTTTCGGGATCTTCTTACCAGGAGACTCTTCCATCCACCAGGCCCATCTCTGAAGCTCCCAGAGGTCCACTGCTTGTGCGTGCCCCTGGTGTCCATTCTCTCAGGACCTCCTTATGTGCTCACTCCTCTGCCTGAGAACCCCCTCTAACTGGAGCCTCCCCCAAGGCCACAGCTGCCGGTCACATCCCTGGTGAGGCATTTCCTGGCTTCCAGCAGCACTGCTGGCTCCTTTGTGCCAGCACTCATTCACCTCAGGCCTCTCCTGTGCCAGTGTCACGCTGTCAGGCCACCAGGGGTTGTCTCTCCAGTATTCTTGTGCTACTCGAAGGTGATTGGTATGTTTTATTTATTTTTAAGAGGAGAGGGGAAGGAAAAAAAGAAGGAAGGGACAATTCAAGTTTTCTGGGACCCCCAAGGTATCCAAATACATGCATGTAGAAAATTACTTCTGCCTTCCTTGAAATAAAACAATGAAGAGAAACACCTAGATTAACAGCTCAGTGAAGGAAAGAAAGCGAAATATGTGCCCAATGTAAGATGACCTCCCTGATTTATCTATATCTATCTATCTCTCTATCTATCTATCTATTTATTTATTTATTTATTTGGTGTTAGGAATTGAACCCAGGGGTGCTCAAATGCTGAGTCACATTCTCAGCCCTTTTTGATATTATATTTGGAGACAGGGTCTCGCTAAGTTGTTTCGGGCCTTGCTAAGTTGTTGAGGCTGGCCTTGAACTTGAGATCCTCCTCCCTCGGCCTCCCAAGCTGCTGGGATTACCATTGTGCACCACCCCGCCTGGCTGCTTTGACCACTCTGTTAAGGCGTAACAAACCCCATTCTTTATTT